GGGGGGCCTGTTGCAGTGTTAGTTGATTTATTGTTGGACATATTTTTGCTCCGGGGGGCACTTGGCGTTCCCGGGGAGGGGGGGAGCAGTGTCGCTCTGGAGATATAGCTGAAAGAAAGCCTGGTCTTCCGGTGCGGTAAACTCATGGTGTCAACCCCCTCCCAACGTTCACGATGGATTTCTTCTTGTTAAAATAAGCCAACACTATAACAATGACAAGGGAAAAAAATAATGGAAGGTCAGGAGGTCAATGTATTTAAGAACTGTAACAACGTTAATTTATTGTTATTTTTACATTAAATTTACTTTATTTAAAAGTTTCCTTTCCTGGGTCTTCAAAGCTGCTAACCTGTCAATCCCTTGATCAGAATTATTATCCTTCACCATATCACTTTCAATTGATAGAAGAGCGAGATCAGAAAACCTTGACTATCCCATTGGTGGATCGTAAATAGTTCTTTATAAGCCTTAGTTTTGAAAAGCTCCGCTCACATGAAGCCACAGTCTTACAGATCGTAAGAAACTATTGAAGGCTTAAGGAGAGTATTGGAAGAGATTCTAGGAAGACCGATTCAGCCACGAATTTCAAAACATCAAATACTGACCAGTCCATGACTTTGTGAAGTTCAATATAAGTTCTCTTTAGTGTCTTCTAAGCCTTGGCATTTAAAAAAAAAAATTCATCTTCATCATAGAAAAAAGTTTAATTTTGCAACAGACACCAGTAACTCTTCTTCACTTGATGATCGTAGACTCTTGGGTTGAACAGCCCAAATGATATCTGCTACTTTCTTGATCGCTGAGTATCTGATCTGAAGTAGAATGAAAACGATCAGTACACTACAGTATCTCCTACTGTTTTCTTCTCGCAGAGAGAGTTCATCATATTTTAATTGTTCTCATGCCATTCTATGTTTAAAGTGAAAGCCCTTCTTGTACAGAAACAATCTTAAGGCGTCTAGGCTGATCACCATTTTGTCAAGAATAGAGCCTTTATTCAGCAGATACTGCTGTGTGAGATTTAAATAATCAAGTAGATCAACCCAAAGGTAGAGGTAGCTGATAAACGTGAAATCACAGACAGCATGTACTGTGTACTGTACAGACTTTGTACTGTACCTCTTGTATCCAAATTTTCAAGAGCTTCACAATCGTCACCACATATTCACTAAACTCATCTTTCACTATTTTTACAGCAGCATGATGAGCACTCCGACATGTTGTTGACAGCCTCTCCATTGACATTCCATTGCGTTTAATTAAAACATCCCATCATTGAGTGGATGCCGCAAAGGAAGAAAATATTCTCTCAAGAGTACAAAAAAATTAAATACATAAAGCATTTTCGGCAAATGAGTATTGGTCATACAAATTAAGCAAATGGCCCACACATCCACTAAAAATTGCTTTCTTATTTTTATTTCCATAATGACCGGAACACCTCCATGGATAATAGATATTGTGGCAACATTATCGTAACCTTGAGCTCAGCACATCTTTAAGTCCAATCCGTCATTTTTAGATTGATAGAATGCCAGAAACACTCTTGTCTGACACCAGCTTTCCCCACGTTGGATTATCCCATTTCTGATCACTTCAGACATCTGGCCAGCGGGATATAGATAGATTATCTGGTGAGTCAACTCCTCTGTTGAGGTGTGACGAGGCTCACCAACCACGGACGGGTAGCCCCTCCCCTCCTCCCCATGTCAACTCCCCCTGTTCTACTAACTAACTAACTAACTAACTTAAGAAAATCAGCGAACACCGAGCCCTTGTAGGCTCATATGGTCCTCCCCAACGCACCACCCCGCCAACCAAACCGGCCGTCAACCACTCCCCCAGTGGTCTTTATTCCGATCGGGCCGCGAAGCGGCACGCCAGGGACGCTCCGCCCCTAAGACCGCCACACCCGACCTCCACTCGATTGGCCGCTGAGTTTGGCAGCCCCAGAGAAGAAACACCTGGCCAGCCGGATTGCTGCTCATGCAGCAACAGGGCCGGACTTTCTAAGGGGTTGGGGTGGATATTTAACGTCTCTAAAGTCCCCCCTTACCACCCCGGGGGGACCGCGTAGTTGTTTAAGACCGACGCCCTCTGCTAGGGTTTGTATGGTTATTCTACGGCGCGACTAATTCACACCGTAGATGGGAGCGAGAGAGGTTGCCTTGGAGCAGTACCCTCAAGACTGCATATTTAAAATCACCGGTGAAAGGTTGCCACACACCTTCACCTCATATCCATACGGCAACTGTAATCATGTCCCAACCTGTTTCTGCGTCACCGGTGAAAGGTTGCCACACACCTTCACCTCATATCCATACGGCAACTGTAATCATGTCCCAACCTGTTTCTGCGTTTAGTAAAATAATTCGACTGCACTTGGTGGGAAGCCATGCAATCGTGCTCGATTTAACGCAGTCTCCGTGCGTTACCTTTGCCTTTCAGCGCGGGTCCCCTACACGGTGATAATGTCGCTAGGGTAACGTTCCAGGGGTTGTGGCCGAACGCCTCTTAGTCGACATGCTAAGTAAAAACATGCCGGCTAGAGCCCTAGCTGTTCTACTAGATTGGTTTATCCTTCAACTTCTTTCACACTTTGTAATACGGTGTGCTAGTATTGAATGAACTCAAGTCCTTTATCCCAAGAAGTGTAACTTTCGTATCTAATGATACACACAGGCTTTAATGTCCCCCCAAAACGCATGAATGTAGCGCAGCTCGTGGTCAGGCAGAAATGAAACTGATTTCACAAAGGTCCATTCACGACTGCCAGACGAATAAAACGTCCGTCACAATACAGACTAGACCAGTGTTTTCTAACATTTTTTTGTGTGTGTGCCATATCCCACCTAAGTCTTTCGAAAATTCGCATGCCCCCCACCCCCCAAGTATCGTATACATAATTTTTAGTATTCAAAATAGGATTGTTCACTGAAAAACTTGAAGCTAGACAGATGCTAGGCATGCTAGACCAAGTCTATTCAGAAACAAGATAGGTGGCTAGTCAGGCTAAACTAAGTTTAGACTGAACGTCTACAGATGCTAAACATGCCAGACTGTGAGTCTAAACTGAAAATAGACAGAGGCCAGACCAATGCTACACTGTGGCAACTTAGATGCTAGACAGATGTTAGACAAGCAAGGCTGTCTAGATTGAAGTTAGACATATGCTAGACATGCTAGAAGGAGTTAAGAATGAAGCTAGACAGATGCCAAACATTCCAGTTTTAGTCTAGACTAAAGCTAGACTGATGAAACGCATGCTAGACGGAGTGGAGACTGAATATAGACAGATGCTAGACATCCTCGACTAAGTCTATACTGAATATTGGAAAATAATAGAAACTATTAGAAATATTTAGAAGCTTTTAGAAAATATTAGACAATATTAGAAACTTTTAGAAATTAAAAAAAAAATACTACACAATATTAGGAAGTTTTAGAAACTTTTAGAAACTTTTAGAAAATATAAGAAACTATGTGCATTAGAAATGCAACATTAATGGAAAATTGATGCTACCCGTAGCTCTATGCTACCTCGTTGCTACCTCGATGCTACATTGAAGCTATCTCGATGCTACCTGGATCTTGTATCCCTTTATATTACATTGCATCACTTTGTGTTTTTCAAAATCGCATTTTATCACATTATATCACTTTATATCGCATTATATCACTTTGTATCACTTTATCACATTATATCACATTTTATCACATTTAATCCTATTGTATCACTTTTTATCACTTTTTATTACATTGAATCACTCTATATTTTGTGTCTTTTTAAATCGCATATTATCACATTATATCACTTTATATCACATTATATCACTTTGTATCACTTAATATCACATTGTATCACTTTGTATCACTTTGTATCACTTTGTATCACTTTGTATCGCTTTGTATCACATTATACCACATTATATCACAATTAATCGTATTGTATCACTTTGTATCACTTTTTATTACATTGTATCACTCTATATTACTTTGTATTACATATACAATCTTCGCGCATCTACGCTCATCTACGTGCATCTAAGACAAGTAAGCGTATCTACACGAATCTACCCGCATTTACACGC